GTGCGCTCTCCCCAGACTCCCCTGTGACGACACAATCCACCTTCCCGTATCTCTGCAGTATGACTTGGCCCACTGCTAGGGACGTGTTTCCCCACTCAGATCGTGTAAGTCTGAACATCATTTTCAGGAGTGTTGCATCCTAGTGGGTATAGTAGCCCCTAACGCAAAACTTGTAAAAGCTAGAGAATCGACACATGCTGAGCGGCCAGCCTTGAACCTGGCATAATTAGAGGCAGCTGTGATTACCAGGAGGCCTTTGGGTATGCTACCAGGCAGGAGTTTCAAAAACCACTCTTCCCTTGGCGCCCTGTTGTGCTCCTGGTTCTTGCCTCCTTTTTTTTTTTTCTTTCCCAAATTTCCTCCTTTAGCACAATAGATGACAGTACAGTGGGATGCCTCCAGACCAGAGAAGCAAGGAGTTTCTGCTGAAGTCCCATAAATTAGACAGCCCTCTGCCAATCACGGTGGTTGGTCCTGCCAGGTTCCAGGTTTCAGTGTTCTAAATCCATCCTTCATCCCATAGCGGAATCTCACAAGACCCCAATTCAGGTTAAGTGGTCTTTAACCGTTGGGTAAAACTCAAACTTTTCAGCTCACTTAACTGCTTTTTCTCAAACACAACACATGAATTTTTGTTCTTGCTGGTGTTGATGGCAGCTGCTGATGTTTGATGTCATTTGTGTGGGAAAGGAGACAAATGAAAATTACACCTAGAGAACACATGAAAACCTCTCGCCCGGGGTGCAGGAGGCTGGGTGAGGTTCAGCAAGAGAGCCTCGCACAGCTGCTCATTGCTTGGCCCCGGTGAGCTCAAATGCACCATGCTTGCACCCAGCGAGTCTGGTTACATGTCCTGACGCAGGGGTGCTGAGGCTCAGGGTCTTTTATGAGGAGCTCACCTCCTGAAAAGTCCCAGTGCTGAGAATGGGGTGGGGACACAGCAGTGGGAAGGCAAGCTGCAACTTCCTGAAGCCTTTGCTCCCCAACACCAACTGTTTTAAGTTCAATTTTGTCTTCTTTTTGCCAGCCTTAGCTCTCTTGAATGTGTTTGTCATTTAAAGGATGTTTTAGGCCACTGGAAGATGAATGTTTTGTCAATGACTTTGCTTACAATAAAATACTCTCTCTCCTTTGAGAAGTATTTTATCAGATACTGAATTTAGCTCCATAGACCTGCTCTGCAGTTCAGATTACGCCGGTGCACATGCTAGGAATGCACCTTGAAGTGAAAGAAGCCAGATATAATTTGCGGGTCTGGGCAGACACAGAATCACACCCTTCCTCTGTGCATGTCAGGCACTTCACAGGCAGGCTGCATGATTCCCCTGGGTGTCCCCAAGCCACTGTGCTGGCCTGAGTTGTCCTCACACACCCATGAGTGGCTGGGCAGGGGAGTCCTCAGGCTGCTTGAGGTTACTGGTACCCAGGGCTTGATGGAGGGGGACCTGGAGATAAGTCCAGTCTGCCCCCAGGAGGTGTCGGGTGAGGAGGTGTGACTGGAGCCGAGTAGTGGGAGGTAAGTGCCCTGTGATTTTTTTAAAAAACAAATGCAACCATGGAGCATTCAGTGAACCTGTAAAATCTCTCTGGAAATCACTTTCTGGCAAATTACCTGCACTGTCCCTCCCTCACTGTCCTGTCACACCCCCACCCACACTGTCCCTCCCTCACACCCTGTGGCCTCTCTTCCCCAGACTATTGCAGTAGTACCTCTTTTCAAATCTCCTACTTCCAGGCTCACTCTTAAGTCTGTCTCCCATGTACTTTCAAGATGATCTATCCAAATAAAAATCTGCCTTTGTCCCTCTCCAGCGTAAGTCCCCATAATCTTGCAGAGAAAGTCCCACTCTTTCGCGCTGACATCTGGCCACCTGCTTTTCGGGCAGCCCATCTTCCTGCACATCCTCCGTGCACTTACCCCCTTTGACGCCCTTGCTCTTGCTTTTCCCTACCCCCTTATTACACTTGCCCAGCTCCTCCTCATCCTTCAAAGGCCAACTCAGATATTCCCTGGTGTGCGCTCTCCCCAGACTCCCCTGTGACGACACAATCCACCTTCCCGTATCTCTGCAGTATGACTTGGCCCACTGCTAGGGACGTGTTTCCCCACCTTGAGTTCTTCCTGACCCCGAGCCTGCCACGTGGGGCCCTGGTGCTCGTGAGGGCCCTGACGTGGGTGTCTGATGAGCCAGGGCCCAGATCACGACAACGCCTCCTTCTGTTCAGCGGCACACTGTGGTCTCCTCTCTTTTGGCAGGGCAAGGCTGAAGAACAACAATAGACAAGTGTGCATTGACCCGAAATTGAAGTGGATTCAGGAATACCTGGAGAAAGCTTTAAACAAGTAAGCACAACAGCCAAAAGGACTTTCTGCTAGATCCACTTGAGGAAAGCTAACACCGTATGGCAGATGGAAGGGCAAGGTGTGGGGGAGGATGACCTGGATGGGGAGGACCAGGTGCCTGGGGGGGGGGTAGCGCACTGACCTGGGAACGGGCTTGAGGTTTGCCCAGCATGTAGACATCCACATTTTATAGCGTCTGGTACGATCCTGCAGCTTCTATTCCCCCGTGCCCCAGACCCTTGTGCATTGGCTGTTTTACAACTGGGGTTTTTCTAAGAAATCATGTTGTCGCAACAGCATTTCCCACTGTCAGCTCTCTCCCAATCATCGCAATTCTCATCATTCCCATTATCTTTTTTTTAAATCAGTGATTACTTCAAGATCTGTATTTGGTTTGCTTTGGAACTTTTCTTCCTTGCCCCTGGGGCATCTGGGCACAGTCAGGTGATGGCCAAGCATGGAGCTCAGGAAAGTCTCCTTCCTCCAGACTCAGCAGGCTTGGAGGAAGGCTCTGGGTGGCCTCCGCAAGGGGTGCCCCTCCGGGAATGACACCCGGATACTGGCCAGTGCTAGGCAGCGGCCACCGCCCCCACCTCCTCTCTCCAGCTCAGGGGTTGGATCTGTAGGCTCCACGTAGAAGCTACTGTCACTGGGGACTGTGCTCAGAGACCCCCCCCTCCCGGCCATTCCCAGGCCTCTCCGTGCCTCCAGTAGCATGCTTTCCTCTTGCTTCTGCTTCTCATTTCTGTACATGCTCCATGGGGAGGAGGGTGATTGCCGGAGCGCTGCCCTGCAGCCCCCTCCTCCCTTTGCCCTCCCCTCCTGCTCAGGCCCTCTGTGAGAATCTTCTCTGGCCTTCTCCAGAATGGGGCTGGCCCTCTCCTGGGGTGGGGGGAGGGGGTTGGAAGGTCATGTCTCCGCCTTTCCTCGAAAGGCTGGTCTTTGCAGAATCAAATGCAATTTTCAATCTGAGAACTTGTTTTGAGGAATTCGGTTTCTGTGGTTGCCTCTGAGGCTTATATAGGCCACGGAGGCTCTACAAACTCTGAGGTCTCTGAAATCAGAAGTGAACAAAATAAATGAATAAATGAGCCTCTTGCCACGAACACCTCCCCCTGAAACCACAGCAGGGTTTCAGTTTCCAATCAGAAACGTTGGCAAGGTGACATTTCCATGCATAAATGTGATCCACAGATGGGCCTGATGGTATTTGTAACTTTTTGCAAGGCATTTTTTTATATATTTTTTGTGCACATTTTTTTATGTTTCTTTAGAAAACAAATGTATTTCAGAATATATTTATAGTCAAACAATTCATATATTTGAAGTGGAGCCATATGAATGTCAGTAGGTTACATTTCTCTATTATCTTGAACTACTGGCAATTTGTAAAGAAATATATATGATCTATAAATGTGATTACAGCTTTTTAATGTTAGCCACAGTGTATTTTTTCACTTGTACTAAAATTGTATCAAATGTGACATTATATGCACTAGCAATAAAATGCTAATTGTTTCATGGTATCAATCTCCTACTGTATGTGGGAATTTATTTACTGGAAGTAAAATCCATCAGCTGTTAGACATGGGGCTCAGGTACATTTGTGGAGTTGATGAAGATAAGGTGGCCTGCCGGTCAGGTGCCTTAGATCCCTCCTGCCGACTTCGCTTGTGAGCGTGGGCCTTGCTCAGGAGCAGATTAGAGCTGCAACTCAAGTTTTTGTGCCTTTTTTTTTTTTAACCCAGTGGAAACAGCAGTGCTAGTCTTCTGAAGAATAATATTTGACTCACTAATTTCTCTTCTCCTTCCTCCTCTTCCTTGGTTCTCCTAACATCCCCACGTAATCTCCAGAGACTCAACTCTCATAATATCCAGCTTTCACATTTTCCCATGTAAAAATCCCATAATCCCAGGCCATGGTTAATAGCAAGCTTTCACGGGAACAGGTGGCCTTACCCCATAAATCATTAAATACCATTCAGCTTGAATCATTTTAATGTGACAATCATGAGCCAGTTGCTCTAATCAAATTCTGCTAACCAGCTCTCTCCCTTGCTCTCCAGAACAATCCCAGTCATTCCCAAGGGGTGTCCCCAGGCATCCAGAAAGGAGAAGGTGGGATCAGGCCCGCCTTCTTTCTCCTCTCCTGGATGGCCGCCTGAATGCAAAGCATGATTCGATTTGAAATGCAGGTATTGTTTTGTAGCTACAGCAGAGTTTAGCTCTGCGCTGAGAAGGAAGGAATCCAGAGGAGGTGGGATTGAGGTGAGTTAGAAGGCCAAGTCCAGCCTGGCCCAGGGCGGGACTTCACACCCTTTCAGATGTGAATGCCCTTCAGGGTTGGAAGCCTCAGGCATTAGCTGGAGCCAGGGCCAGGCTGGTACCTTGGCCCATGGCTGTAACCAGTTCCCAGATGTTCTGGAAAGCCAGCTAACATTTTTCATTGAATTGGGGAAAATGTCTGATTTATTTTAATGAAGTACTGATGGACAGTGCTTTGCCCAGGGGCCTCCAGGCCTAAGACTGAAGACAAAGTTAAACAGACACCCAGGGCAGTGTTAAAAAATTGTGCAGACTGAAACAGACCCCTGTGTATTTCAACATCATTAATGGTTCTACTAATTTTATCTAAGGGGGCGCAGAGAAGAAAAAATGGGGAAAAGAGAAAAGATAGGAAAAAAGAAGCGACAGAAGAAGAGAAAGGCTGCTCAGAAAAGGAAAAACTAGTTATCTGCCACTTCGAGATGGACCGCAGTGCACGCTGCTCTTGTCTCCCCCGGCGCTTTGTAAATTTGCTCTAACCCTCCTCCAGGGCAGACCCCCCCGCCTTCTGCGCAGGGGCTCAGACCTCCATGGAGGAGTAGCGTTCCTGTGGCCGCACAGGCTCCTGTATTTATGTGCATTTTCAGGCCCTTTCTGGGCTGCTAAGTTATGAAGAAAGTAGTTGTGCAGAGACTGGGGCTGCGGTCTGGGACGAGGAGACTCTGCTCGGGGCTCGGGAGTGGCCCAGGTCTCTCCAGCCTTGCCCTGGGCTGCCTCCCACCCTGCCCTCCACTCCCTCTCTCAGAAGGGCTCCGAAGCCCACCTGGCTCCACACACTCAAAATCTGCCTTCCTGCTGAGGCCAGGGTGTGGCTGCCTGGCTGCACAGAGCCATTGCTAGCCCAGCAGTGGGAGCCTCGGCCAGCAAGGGACATGTGCCTCCTGCCCTCCCCTTGACCCCTACCGGTGCCACCCGGCATTGCCTTCGTGGGGCAGCTGTGGCCATGCCTTTTGCAGGTGCTAACTGACTCTTTTTTCCCAAGTGCCTGCTGCCTGGCCCTCCACCCCTCTGCAGTCTGGGGTGGGACTTGTCCAGCGGCTAGCCCCTCCCTAGGCCTGAGGCTGTGAGAGCGGCTTTACCTCTGAGCAGGGGTGGTTTCTGCACACCCGGTGGGGAAAGTAGGTGGGAGTCCCACATTCCCAGGGAGCAGCTGTGGAAAATACTTCTCAGGGAGCCTCTGGGCCGGGCAGTTCACTTTATAGATTCTTTAAACGGGTCCCTGACGTGGAGGAACTGTGTGAAGGGCCTATCCCCACCCACTTTCTGCCGGGAGAGGCTCTGTGACCCTGTGTGATTAGGTTCCAGGACACAGCTGCCTCAGTCCTCACTCATGGGAAATAATCTGCTTAAAGTGAACATGGTGTTCTAGAAAGTTCTAGAACTTTCCTCATACCACCCACAGATTATGTCTAAGATTTCTTGCCTAGTCTCTCTAATTTGGATCAGAAGGAGGGGGATCACGTGGGAGAGCAAGGCCCTGATTTCAATAGTACTTTGAAAAAGAACACCTCGAATATCTGGACTGTTTTCCCCATCCTCCTGTTCCTCATAAACATTCATCCTGCACCCCAGGCCCTTGGTCATAATTCAATATGTGGACCCAGAAAGATGAAGTGGTTGGAGGACAGAACAGGTGGAATCAGGAGAAGAAAATCCAAGGTCCCCGCCTGTCAGACTCCCCTGGAGCACTGGTCCCTCATGCTTTAGTGCCCTCCTCTGTGACAGCAGCGTAGAGCACTGGGGGCATTCCTTCTCTCCACTAAAGAAGTGTCCTGCTGGGGCGCTGCAGCCAAAGACCTTTTAGTCACCATCGCCAGTCCCTTTTATCCAGCTGACTCGCAGCCTGCGCCCCTCTCAGCAGCCCTGGGCTTAGCAGGCCTGTTCCCGGGCGTGCGGAAGGCACCCTCCCCGCCTCGGAAGGCACTGGGCTGTTTGCTGGTCTGCCCAGGGCTGCAGTCTTCTGTGGAAGCCAGCAGCAGGCCTGGGCTGGAGGACCTTGGCTGGGGTAGTCCTCCTCTGACAAAAGCACCCCGGAGCCGGTCAGACCTGGGGCCCCATGCTCTCCATTCTTCCTGCAGCAGGATCAGCACATCTCTGTGCCTAGAGAGGGGTGGCAGGTCCATCCTGGACACCATGGAGGGCTGCTTGCCATCTAGCCGTGGGGGGTCAAGCTATGGCTGCCCTGAGGTGACAGGCTGCTTTCTGCAGTGCTCAGGACAGCAGAGCCTCCCACTCCTGCTGGGGGAGCTGGGGCTGTGGGGACTAAGACAGTTGGCCCAAGGTTAAGAAAAGCAAACAAGCTCAGTCCTGTGGCCCTCACTGTATCTGACAAGCCAGCGTGGGGCCCTGGAAGAGTGGAGAGCCGGCCTCCATTCTGTTGTGGGTTGAAACTAGGCAGCGCTCACGCAGCTGGGCCAAGTGAATGGCCCTGGGCCCCGGCGCTGCCCGGGGCCACCCCCGCTGTTGCTGGCCAGGACACCCCGGGGCCAGTCGGGAGGGCAGGGGGCCGATGGAGGTGGTTGATGGTGCCAAGGCCTCGGAGGAGCAGGCAGCCTCCTCCAGGCTCCGGCTGAGACGGGGCCACGCTCGGGCGGGGGGCTGGCAGCCCTCCATGGGTGCTGGGCCCCGGCGGGCTGCCCCGCCTGCCCTGTCGTGTGAGCACTGTGCCGTGCTGTCTGTCTGTGTGCTCTTGTTCATCCGCTGTGCCCCGTGCTGCCTGCGCCCATCTGTCTTCTCCACTTCCCGCCTTCCACCCGTCTCTCCGCTTCAGCCCCCTGCTGCCTCTCACCACGCTCCCCCTTCCCAGGGCCTCGGAAGGGAGGCACACGCCGGCGATTTGGAAGTCAGGAGTTGGGAGCCCTGCCGCCGCGGGGCTCGGCGTCTCAGGCGAGCGACCTGGCCGCTGTGGGAACCCGCCTTAATGGTCTCTCCCTCTGTTCTTGTTAACAGGAGGTTCAAGATGTGAGAGGCGCAGGTGGGGTCAGACGCCTGAGGAAGCCTTACAGTAGGAGCCCAGGTCTGAAAGCAGTGTTAGGAAGAGCCCGCAGTGGCTCCCCTGCACCCAGGCAGGGCCCAGTGCATTTCCAAGGGCTTCGTTTTGCACAGTTTGCCTTACTTTCACCATTTGATTATGTAGCAAAATATATGGTGTTTATTCTTCGTTTAGTTTGATTATCCAATGTCACTGGTGACAGATAGAAACTTACACTAAGGCCGTTATTTTACTTGCTTTCTTGTAATATCTTCCCCATGGAGCCCCTTGCCTGGCCAGAGGTTCCTGAGTGTTGTACCTCCCTGAGCTGTGCAGGCTGGGACCTCCGATCATCCTGTCCTGGGATGGAGAGCCACCAGGAGGTATCAGAGCCAGTCGGCCTGGGCCAAACCCTAGTGAAGGCTGCCCCGTGCACGGGGTGGAGGAGGGTTAGGTTTAGAGGGCCAGGCAGGAGCTTCACCCTTACCCAGAGTGAGGGCTGGGATCTTCCCTTTCGGTGAGCATGGCAGAGCTTCCCCAAGCTGAGGCAGGCAGGAGTGTGAGGCCAAGGTAGGGGGAGATGCACCCCTCATCCTCAGCTGTTCTCTACATCCCATCACGTTCTTCCCATCATTCTCTCTCTCATCCATCATCATGTGTATCCAAGACTGTCTCCATCACCCCGGAAAAAGACTCTCTCAAGACTAAAGCTTTAATTTAAACTGGGCACCAAGAAGCAAATCAAAATGTCTCGTGTTACCCGGTTCTGAAAACACTGTGCACATCTGTGTCTTGTTCGGAATATTGTCTGTTGTCCAATCCTGCGTTCTTGTTCAAAGCCGATGTCCTCGCTGTGTGCAGTCAGCTCCTTGTATGCAAAGGCTCAGAGGCAGGAGATGCCTTTTGACCAGGTTTCTGATTAGGGCCGTGAGCCTCTCGGGTGGGCAACCTGGGTTTCTCCACTGATCACAAACCCAGGATGGATCCGCAGAGCCCAAGGGAATTCGGTTTGCAGCAGTGTTGACCTGGGAGATACACCAGCCCTCCATGCTCCCACAGGTGTCCGTATCTCGGAACCATGGGGAGTTTTGTCTCCATTTTGCCAAGGGCATGATTCTTTTGGCAATCACGTGAAAATCAACTTTCTTGGTTTTTGAAAACCTGGTCCACAAAACAGTTAATCCTGGACATGAAGATTCCTTCCCAATTAAAATCTAACCTCATCTTTTTCCCCACTTGGCAATTCCATCATCTGCTACCTTGTACAGCGGCCTCTGGACTTGACCACTAGTGTTATCTTGTGCTTCCAGATCATCCATCAGGGCATTCCTCTTAGAAAAGGAGATGTTTGGGAAAGTAGGTTAAAACCTTAACATGTAGAGTGTTTCCCTTTACTGAGACTAGTTTGTAGACTTGCATTAGACAGTTTAAAAATCTCACTTTTTGAACAGGTAGGCACTTGAGGGGTTTTTGCTTATTGTGCTTTGTTTTACAGTTTATCTAATACTTTGCCCCTTTGGTTAAACAGCCCAGGAAAAATTTTTAAAGTAAGAAAGTGGACAAAAAGAAGGGCAAAACTAGGAACTATATCCATTGACAGGACACTGTAAATAACATGCAGGAAGTATATTATAGTAAAATAATCTTGAATTGTAGGTGATTTTAGGTGTAGTAATCTTTGGGTTATCAGTAACATGTTTAAAGCAATTCCATAAATATTCCTTTATATAGGATCTTCATGGTAGAAAGACAATCCATCAACCAAACAAAAATCTGTATCTTCAAGGCAGCTATGTTATATTGAATAAAATAGAGTACAGGAACCTTTATTAGTTATAAGGAATACAAAACTGGTCTCAGGACCCTCTTTTGAAATTAAGCTGTCACTGCAGGTCTCCTGAACTATACGTGAAATGATCGAGTTTTCAGTGGGATGGGCATTTTCTCAGTAATCCAAGATATTTAAAACTCTGATGGAAAATTTGGAAACGTCCTCCCCTTTGGAATCCGTGAACCAGAACCATTAAATCTGTTACTCCCAGAAAAACATGGCCCTAAATCTTGACTACAGTCAAATAAAGAATCATTCCTTTCTCCCCAAAAGAGGGAAAAATAGATAAGAGTAGAAACTGCAGGGAAAGTTATCTGCCTAACAATTGCCCTACTTGCAATCTGCTCCTAAACAGAGACTGCCCAGCGAAAGCAAATATGCATTTAAATAGCCTATTTGCAAAGGAAAAGGCTCTCCCGATCCCCTTTTGCTTTAAAAATACAAGTCAAGTGCATCCCTTGATTAGGGGTCACCAAGCTGTTCCTCCTTGTCCAGTGCTGCTCCACCTGACCTTCCCTTGGGCTCCTTGCAACCTGCAGGGCAGTCCTCCCTGGCCAGCCTTTGCATCAGGACCCAGGCAGCTGCGGGGCTGGGGTGGGGCTAGGACTCACGGAAGTGCTGTGTGTTTATATCCGAATCTGCGCCATGTGTTGTGTGTACTGTTCTTCGTCCAGCCCTGTTCAGGTGCTGAGACCCCAGCGAGGAGGCTCAGGAGGGGGACCCTCTGCATGTGGGCCTGTCCTCCAGAGAAAGGAGGTTCAGCTTGGAGCAGAGGGCCTGAAGAGCAAAAAGTTGCAGTCCCACCCCCTCCCCCACCCCCCTCCCCGTGTGAAATCCAGAGAACTTGTAAGCTTTTTCATTGGATCCGATTTGACCTTCCTTTTCTGACTGCTGCTTGATGTTATGGCCACAAGCTCCCCACGGGGAGTTTATCACCCCCACCCCCACCCCAGGCGGTGCACCCTTCCGCAGCGGGATGAGAATTGTGGGGTCCCTGTACCCATCCTCCTGACCCATTCCGAGGGACCCCATCCCTGGGAAATGCTCCCTAGAAACCTTCAAGTCCCCTAAGCAGACCACTGACATGGCCAAGTTGAAAAAAACCTCCCAGGCTACTTGTGTGTCAGTAACCTCGCTGGCTTCTCAGTCTCCGGGCAGTGATGGATTCAGTGTTAAATGTGATGAATACTGTATTTTGTGTTGTTTAAATACATCTCCCAGATAATGTGAAAATGGTCCAGGAGAAGGCAGCTTCCTGTATGCGGTGTGCTTTTTTTTTTTTTTTTTTAACAAATAACAACTCCCTTTGAGAAACAACCATTTCTACTTTGAAGTCATATCAATGAAAAGATGTATATGCACTTACAATTTTCCTAATAAAGACATGTATCCAAATGTAGCAGCCAACAGTTTGAAATTAGTGTTGCCATTCGGAATTTTCCAAACTCGGTTTTTCTTCCTCCAACCCAACACGGGAGGGGTCGCGTAATCCTAGCTGCACTGGTTAGTGGAAAACAGGCCATTGCAATCACGCTAATCATAAGGAAAATTCTGGAGGCATGCTTGCCTCTCCTAGTCAACTGATCCGTAGCGGGGGTGGGGGAAGGCACTCTCTTTTCTCTGAATGTCCTTGGTTTTGCGGGAATCCCTTCTTAAAGGCAAGCCGGTCCTCTACTCCAGAAGGGAAGGTTTTGTGCAAGGGCCCCCATAGTTGCCTGTCAGCTGTGGGGAAGGAAGCCTCCATTTGGTACTTCCCAGGCCAGTGGAGGACAACAGCGGCCGGTCCCTGAAGGCACCATCAAGGACCTAGCACCCTGGGCGTATTTTCTGTCCTGCACTGGGGCCTTCTGGAAACTTACTGAACCTCTCAACAGCTGCCCGCTGGCACTGCCCTGGATACTTGACCAGGTGGTAAGCCTGATAGGCTTCTGTCCTCATAGAGGTCAGCCTGTCACACTTTCTCCTACATTCTTTCTGGTCCACAGTCAACCGCACTGGAAAGGAGCGGCCAGTACAGAAGCCCCAAATGTCTGAGTCCAGATTGCTCTGTCCTCAGACCCTCTGCCCGTTGGCCCAGACATGACCATGTTCCCTGTGCTCGGAACCTCCTGGCTCTCTCTAGGGTGGCTTTGATGTGGTGGCTCAGTTGCAGATGGACTGGAGGAGGAAAGAAGTATTCGAGGAGAGCCATGGCCAGAGACAGCATGGTGTCCGGGGACGAGCATGGGTGTGCAGAGCCGCAGAGCAGTGCTCGGATCCAGGTCTTTTCTCTGCTCCCTCCATGACTTAAGGCACACCACTTGCCCTGAGTTCCAGCCTCCGCAGCTCTAACCCAGAAGCTTAGCATCCCCAGGAGTTGGGCACACTAGACGTGAGTAGGATATGCTTCACTCCCTCTCCACCTGCTGTTTCCTAGGGTCCACCTGCCTCTCCTTAGGCCTCAGCAGTGCTCAGATACCTGGAGCTAGAGGTGATTTTGAAAGGTGAGCAGGTGGGGAGAAGCCTCTTGTTTGGGTCTTGTAGGTTCCCTGAGCATCTGTGCGTGCTGGTTCCAGCACACTACACCACACTTCTGGCATCAGGAACCAACACCCTCTGGGTTAAGTATCAAGTATTCAGAATGATACTGACTCTTCAGAATGATGTAGCTTCGCAGGGCTACTGGTCCCCGTGCAGTCGGCCGACAACAGCTGCACCAGGCCCTGGAGTAGGCAGTTTGGATGCTCTGAGGAGCAGGACGGCCTGCTCCCTGAGTTCATGGAGCCCGCAGTCCGAGGGACTGACTTGTAATTACATGAGCCCTTTGGTAGAGCATGGTAAATGGGACTTTAGCTAGCACTCCAAGGAAGTACCATTTAAGCTGGTGCTTGCTGCCATATTGGGATTGATAAAGGACCCAGAGGCATCCCCTAAGCACCCCCCGACAGAAGGCGCACAGATTCTGTTTAGGGCCTAGGCTCTCTTCCATCGTTGAACGCACCCACCAGCACCAACCCAACTTGCCTACATCACTTGTAGTGAGGTAATCATCAGCCTGTGGAGAGCTCCCCTGAGAACAAACTGGGAAAATGGAGCTCCCAGGTGGAGTCCATCCCTAGGGCATCCCCCGAGGCACTGCACAGAGTCCTGGTGGGGATACGGGGAGCCGTGTTCCCAGTGCCTCAAAGAGGGCTTGTCACAGTGGGTGTTTAACAGACATTTGACATGTGAGCGGGTGGTGAGGCTAGCAGCCTCCGGGCCAGCCACAACCAACACCCCAGCGTTCCTACCTGGGCCTGGAGCTACTCTCAGATCTCAAGGAGGTTGCTGTGCTAAGTTTTCAGGAGTCAACACTCATTTTAGAGCAAATGAGTTGCAGCTACCTCTTGGCCCATGCAACCAAACAGAAACAAAGCAGAGTGCTCATTCCATACTTCCTTCTCTCTAACACGTTTCATCCTCCCCCCTCCTCACTCCGCTGATGCTCTGGCTTCTAGTCAGAAGGAAAGGCAACAATAAGAAAGGGGATTCATGAGCCCCACCTCTGGTCCACGGCCACCGCTCTCACCTGGCAGGAAGCACCCTGCTCCTGGCCCTGGAGCCCAGCTTCTCACCTGCCCAAGGACACCTCTCCCGACTCCCCCTCTCACCTGCACCAGCAATCTTTGACTCTACATCGACACACCAACATGCTCTAATATCTCCCATCAGAAATAAAATGAAGTGAAAGTAGAACCAAGCCCGACATGGGATTCTTCCAGCCCTCTGTCTCCTACCACGTCTGCCCTACTCTGCTTCTCGTCACACGCAAGTTCTCACAAGAGTGGTCTATATTTCCCATATCCACTTTCTCTCCTCCTCTCTCTTCTCTTTCTTGAAAACCCCACCCCCAACTAAAATTTTGACCCTACCACTCACTCCGCTAGACCTGCTCGTTGTCAAGGTTGTCACTGAGCCGTCGGGAAATGCAATGGTCAGTTATCAATTCTCAGCTTCCTCGGGCTCCCGGTAAACTTGACGGCATTGGTCGCCCTCCTTGAAACACACTCTCTCGTTGGCTCTCAGGAGACCATTCCTGACTGTTTCTTCAGCTTCATACCTTCCCATTTTTTTCTGTGTCCTCCTCATCCTCCGGACACCTAAACACAAGGACACCCCTCGGTCAGTCCTCGGATGCTCTGTATTCATACCAGGTGACCTCATTCACTCTCCTGGCCTTGAACACCATGCAAAGGCTGAGGAACCCAGACGGATCTCTCTCCTGGGCTCGGCTTGGACACCCCTCCTCCTCCTCTGAAAGTGATCATTTGCAAAAGGAAACTCCTCTTTTCCCCATTTCCCTCAACCTGCTCATCCCCATTTCTGTAAATAACGACTCCATTCCTTCCAGTTGCTCAGGCCAAAACCATATAGCCATGTTGGATTTACTTTATTCCCTTACAACCCTGAACTAAACCATTAACAAACCCAATTAGTTAGCCTTCAAAATATGCCCAGAATCCAATCACTTCTCATGGCTGCCATCCTGGCGCAGCTCCCGCCACCTCCGCCCCCGCCCCCCCGCCCCCGCAGCGGCCTGCCGAGCCGCCTGGTCATGCCACCCTATTCACACCCTCCAGTTTTTAACCAGTGGAGGTTTACACCAACTGGCTCCTGTCCCCTCTCTGTCCTCACCACTCTCTGCTCCCGCCACAGAGGCTCCCTCGCCCTTGATCAGGCCAGGACTGCCCCTGGCAGGGGACTTTTGTGCTGGGTAGCCTCAGC